AGCTGCCTCACTGTGGGCTGGGGGTGGCAGAGCCCGATGTGGATGCGCTCGGGAGCTGGGGACAGCAGGTGACGAAGAAGCAGCTGCTCCTTCCAATTGCTGGGCTGGTGATGGGCCAGCTTCCGGCCGGTGGCAGCGGGCGAGTCGCTGGGATGACTGTCGCAGTGTGTCACAGCTCATGAGTCTGGGTCCGACCCTCCGTGCCGTCCTGTAACAGGCAGCAGCTGGAAATCGAGAAGAAGAGGAGGGAAACCGTGGAGAAAGAGAAAGAGCAGATGATCCGGGAGAAGGAGGAGCTGATGCTCAGGCTCCAGGACTACGAGCAGAAAACCAAGAAGGCCGAGAAAGGTGGGCCACACTCTCCCGGACGTCTGGGTCGCATTTATAGGTGCAGACAAACAGCACACACAGCACCAGGAAGAATATCCATACAGTGTAACACCCAGAACAGAGACTTGTAGAGAGATGGGATAAAATGGTTACGGGCTTTGGAAAATAGTTCTGCACTTTATTTCCATCTGTGCTAAGTGCTTCACGGGCATTATCTTTTTCAATTGTCCCTGAGCCCTGTGAGGTAGGACTGAGTGGCCCCACTTCCCGAAGAGGGTGGTAAGCTTTGCCAGGTAGGGTAGATTGCTCAGCTCATAGGTTAGTGAGGAGAGGGCGTTCACAGGGCACTGCAGCGGGGGGCACGGCAGCGGGGAGCACGGCAGCCCGAGCCCTGCAAACAGTGGGCAGGGCCGGAAAGAGGTCCGCTCGCCCTGAGACTGGGGCCACCGCCTGTGACCCACCCAGCCCGCGCTTGGAGTTGGAGCTGGACAGCAGGTGGGTGGCAGAGGCGTGAGCAGCTCGGGTGCTGTGTTCCCTTCAGAGCTCTCGGACCAGATTCAGAGGGCCCTGCAGCTGGAGGAGGAGAGGAAGCGGGCGCAGGAGGAGGCTGAGCGCCTGGAGGCCGACCGCGTGGCCGCGCTGCGCGCCAAGGAGGAGCTGGAGAGGCAGACGGTGGATCAGATAAAGAGCCAGGAGCAGCTGGTAGGAGTCCCCGGGTTTCACCATGCTGAATTATGGAGAGGCTGCCTTTGGGGACCGAAAAAGTGACACCTGCCTGACATGATTTCTGTCTGGGCTGTAAACCGATCAGCTCGAAGGTGTAAAGTGGCGGGTGGGGAGGGGCAGTGCAGGTGGCCGCGCTGGGCAGCCCTGCCGCCTGGCGGCCAGGGAGGGGGCCGAGGCCGGCTGGCGCGGCGCCGGCTCAGACACGCGGGCGGCGGACACTGCAGTGTCACGGGAGGCTGTTCATTCCCAAATGGACCCCGCTGAAAGCGGCCCCGAAGTCAGTCGCGCTTCGCTCCTGTGCAGGCTGCGGAGCTCGCGGAGTACACCGCCAAGATCGCGCTGCTGGAGGAGGCGCGCAGGCGCAAGGAGGACGAGGTGGAGGAGTGGCAGCACCGGGTGAGCGCGGGCGGCGGCCCTGGGGGCGGGGCGGGGCGGGCCCGGGGGGCGGGGCGGGCCCGGGGGGCGGGGCGGGCCCTGGGGGGCGGGGCACTGCCCGCGCCAGGCTGGCAGGTCGCGGCGAAAGCCTTGGGACGTGGCGAAAGCCTTGGGACGTGGCGAAAGCCTTGGGACGTGTCGCAATGTTCTGCCGATACTCGTCCCTCTTAGACAAATCCCGGTAGGAATGGGCTTGCCCCTGCGCACTAGCGAGCGCATTGTCGGATTAGCAGGGGAACAAAGGACCACTGTTCGCTTCCACCCACTGTGCTCCGGCCACCCTGAGCTGTGCAGCCCCACAGGCGACCGCCACCAGGAACTAGCTTTGAATCAGATTAGGTCGGTGCCCCAGCAGCCAGCCGCGGTGCCCGAAACAAGCCCTCTCCTGGCTGCTGATACGTGCAGCCCGGCACGAGGAATGGTCTGGACGCGGGAGGTCTCCAGACTGGGGCAAGAGTCCAGGCCCTGCCCTCATCTGTGTGACCCAGGGCGAGTGGCCTCACCTCTCTGCCTCGTTTCTTTGTTGAAGGTGGATTCATATCCAGTTTGTGAGGTTGCTCTAAGGACCCAGCAGAGAGGTTTGATAAAGTGTAGCTGCAGCAGTGGAACATGTTCCACTCCGGTGTCTGGAGAACAGAGCCTCTGTGCTGTGAGCCTTCTTGCCCCCAGGAACGCGCCGGCCCTGGGGAGCTTTGGGTGTGGATCAGGGTACAGACCTCAGCCAAGCTGTGAGGCTCTTCTCCCCTCCCACCTCCCCTGTCCTTTTCCACACTTCCCACCGGTGGCAGTCCTCCTGGGGACGCCTGGTGCCCCCTCACTAATCTTCACCCCACCCCGTCCCCTAGCCCAGGTTTCGGGCAGAAGACTTTAGTCCTTAATTTGTTCAGAAAGTGCTCATTATAAAGTATTGAGTGAGGGAAGCTGGCTACACCCAGGGGCAGACTAAGCACGTCTTTGGGGTCAGGTGGCAGTGAAGGTGGGATTTCAGTGTATGTCCCCCTGAGAAAGTGCTGGAAGGATTAGGGGTGACCGCTAAGCACAGTGCTGGTGGGCAGCAAGGAGCATGATAAATAGCAGCCACACAAGGAAAGGGAATAAAACCACCAAAACATGTGGCTCTTTCCAGTGGCGGGAGGAGATTTTTCTTTAATTTTCTTTTTTTCAAAACGATGTACAATGAGCCGCATGTATTAGGATTATAGACAGAAAAAAAGAAGTTGTGATACTTAGAAAAATGTCAAGCCCTGGCGTCAGTCTCCCTCTCTGCGGTGGGCACGCTTGGTAACTGCTCTGAGGATCCGGAGCCCAGACCCGGAATTGGCTGGTCGGACCTGCAGGGGACACTCATTCAGCCATAGTCGCCCCTGCGGCACGTGCTGCTTCAGCCTGCCAGGAGAAGGGGAGGCAGGGACGACAGAGGGCGAGTCCTTACTGGAAGGAGAATGGGCCTCCTTCGTAAAGAAAAGATGATTCTGAAGACAGTGGTGCAGACGTGAGGTTCTGTGTGAGAAGTTCTCACTGTCTGTTGATTTGCGTTCGAAGGCCAAGGAAGCCCAGGATGACCTGGTGAAGACCAAGGAGGAGCTGCACCTGGTGATGACAGCCCCGCCGCCCCCGCCGCCTCCCGTGTACGAGCCAGTGGCCTACCACGTCCGGGAGAACCTGCAGGAGGAGGGCACGGACTACACGGGCTACAGCGCCGAGCTGTCCAGCGAGGGCATCCTGGACGACCGCAACGAGGAGAAGCGGGTCACCGAGGCCGAGAAGAACCTGCGCGTGCAGCAGCAGCTGATGGTGCGGGATGGGCCGTGGGGGCCGTGGGGGCAGGGCGGCGGGGACGGCTGGCGTAGCTTTCTGGGGCTTCCTTGCTTCCGGCTGCAGCGGGCAGCCTTTGGACGGGCAACAGAATGAGCCTCCCACCAGCACCCACTTCTCCCAGGAGGGGCAGGTGGCGAGAGGGGAGCCTGACCCATGCTTCTTGCTGTTGCAGACTCTGTCCAGTGAGCTGTCCCAGGCCAGAGACGAGAACAAGAGGACCCACAATGACATCATCCACAATGAGAACATGCGGCAAGGCCGGGACAAGTACAAGACGCTGCGGCAGATCCGGCAGGGCAACACCAAGCAGCGCATCGACGAGTTCGAGGCCATGTGAGCCCGGCCGACGGGCAGGGCGGGGCCTCAGCCTGGGCTCCCGGAGGGTCACATGCAGACTCTGAAACTTGTACTTGTAGTTCTCTAAATCTAGACCCTTCCTCGTACTCCAGTTCCTTTAGAAAGAGTGTAGCTATTTCAGTGGGAATACTCTGGGGCTGGGACCAGTGGGAACTCCCCTGGTTTACTTTTCCCATTTGTATCATAGTGCCAAACGGGCCTGATTTTTATTATTATTATTGAATCACTTTCTGTCTTGTGCTCGGAGCAGGGCTGATTGAATTAAGCAAAGAGATGCCTGTAACGTCTGAGGAACAAACCCCATGCTGGCATGTGTGATGTGAGATTCAGCACAATTAAAGAAAACCCCACCGTGGCCTCTGTTCTGTGCCATACTTTGTTCTGCATTTGGAAGTAGCGCAAGTTGATTGATTTGTACTTGATTTCTATGAAGGATGCATCTTTGTATGTGTATGTGTTTGAGGGGTGACCACGAAGTCTCAAGCACTCCCACACGTGCACATAGTGATTTCCTCCCTTGGTGACAAAGTCCTCTGCCCATTCAGGATCAGCAACACGGGGACACTCCATTCCTGAAGACACTTGTCCTGTTTTTTGTTTTTTTAACAGAGGGCTACACGTTTGGACTTAAACACACCTAATTAATGATCAGCTCTATAGAGTATAATATTTATATATAAGCAGTAATATGGGATTGTAACATTAGTTTAAAAAAGGGAAAGTTTTGTTCTGTATATTTTGTACCTTTTACAGAATAATAAAAGAAGTACATATTAAAACCATGTCACTTGATCTGATGTGGTGTGAGGGCCGTCGTGAAGCTGCTCACTGCTGTAATCACACCTCGGCTCTGTACACGTCCATTCCTATCAGGAGGTCTTACCTGAGAAACACACACACGCTATGAACACAGACCCCGGCCATGAAGGCCCTGTCCCGACCTAGTGGCCGTCTGTTTCCACAAGAAGCACCTGTTCTGACCTATGTCCGTTCTCTGCCACGTCCTTGGAAAGCCACGGAAATGCTGGCTCTCCCTGCAGGTTTGCTCATCCGCGCCCTCCCTCCCTTCCCTGCTCCGCTCTGCCTTTCCTTCTTCGGTTGAGTCGTGCGCACGAACCCCCTCCGCAGATGTGAACATCGAGGAGCGGCGTGAACGTGTGCTTGCTGGGTCTGCACGCCCTCCAGCAAGGCCTCCTGGGGCCGGTGTCCCTCGGGTGGACTGTAGGGCTGGCCCACCTGAAAGGGGAGTCTGTCCCCTCCCCACCCTCCAGCTTTCCGCGGGGGCGGGCGCAGTGGAGTGGGAGGGATCGCATCCTCACCAGGCTCCTTTTCCTTTGGAACACACAACACAAGGCCATAATTTTCACTATTCGATGCGCACTGGAGATGGGTGACATTTATTGACATCTGGCCATCTTTCCCAGCTCCGAGCACAGAGAACCAACCCGACCTCTTTCTGTCACCGTGGTCATCGCTCTAACAGGTGCACGCAGAGGCACTCAGAGGGACCTTCCAGCTGCGCCACAGCTGTGGTGAGAAGGGCTGCCCTGCAGAGGGCCGTTCCGGCTGCGTGTCCACCGTCCCCCAGCTGGCCTGCGGGCACGCAGACCAACCCGCCGCACACTGGCCCCTGGGCTTCAGTGCAGGGCGAGTGTCATGTCTGTCCATAAATTCGGGCTGGAAAGGACTTTCTGCCAGTGCAGCTTTGACTGGGAGCCGCCGGCGGGATCCGCCCCTGTGGTGTGAGTGAAACGACAAGTTAGAGATGGGCCTGCAGACCACTGTGCTACCCCTTTTCTCAGCTTCGTGCACAGGAGAACCAGCCCGGCCGGTGTGGCTCTGGCTGAGCACTGACCCATGGACCAGGAGGAACATGCCCAAGTCGTGGGCCCAGTTCCCAGTGGGGGCCATGCAGGAGGCGGCCAATCGATGTTCTCTCTCATTGGTGTTTCCATCTCTCCCTCTCCCTTTCTTTAAAGTCAATAAGGGAAAAAATATATTTAAAAAGGAGGACCAGGAAGAACAGTATAAAGTGATTTTCCACCTCGACTTAAGACTAGATTAAAATGCCAGCCATTGGTGAGTAAGAGAGCCCCTTCTCCCCAACAAAACATGTTTGGAACGACGCTCAGGCATCCTCCCAGGGACTTGAGGCCTCAAAAGGCTGAGGCTGCTTTCTTTCCTGTTAGTTGAGAGCGAGGAATGGACGGGTTTGGTGGGCTGGTTCTTCGAGGAGAGTTGGCCACAGTCTTAACATTACAGTCTGGGGTAGGTGCGGGTGTCCCAGACGGGGCCGGGTTTGTTCACGAAAAGGAGTTCCTCAGAGGAAGGGGATTTGCTTTGGAAAATATTTCCTTAAAAACATTGTAGCCTGGCTGGTGTGCGCAGTGGTTAGAGCATTGGCCAGTGCACTGAAGGGTCTCGGGTTCGATTCTTGGTCAAGGGCATGTACCTACGTTTCAGGTTCCATCCTGTGTGCAGGAGGCAATCAATGTGTCTCATATCGATGTTTCTCTCTCTCCCTTCCACTCTCTCTAAAAAAAATAATTAAGGAAAAAAGGTCCTTGGGTGAGGCTTAACAAAAAAACACACACCAGTGAGTCCTGTTTTCCTCCCATGGTCCTCTGTTGGCCTGGAGATGTGTGCAGGTGTGCTGGTCGCCACTGTGTTTGGGGAACACCACTGGCAACCAGCAGGGGAGCTGGGCCACTCAAGCCCCACAAAGGACTGCCCCCCACAAAATGTCAGAAGCACCCCTGCTGGGCAACACAAAAGCATTGCCCTTTGTCCCACTCTTACTAAAATACTTTCTGAATTGCCAGGCATGTGATTTAAGAAGATATTTTTCTTTAAGAAAATAATCCTTCCACGATTGAAGTCAGGAACAAAAGCAGAGACTGTACCCAGCCCATGTGGAGGCCTGTAATTTTCGTTTCTTTAGCAGATCCTAAGTCTGATTTAAATTGTTGAAATACTTGGCTGTGTTGCTCCGTTGTGCACAGAACTGGACTTAGTTCTCTCCACTGGTGGCAGGTTGGGCCACTTCAAAGCCGGTGGAACCTCCTGCCACCGTGGAAACATGGTTTTCCTTTGAATGGTGCCCGGGTGAGAATCGAAGGGTCCCCCACGCCCTGGGGCCCAGCGAACAGACTTACTGGCGCCGAGCCTGGCCTGCCCCAGCAAGCGGGCGTTCACGCCGAAGACGGCCTGGTCCCAGACGCTCAGCTCCAGGCAGGACTGCCCCAGCTGGGACGGGGTCACGCCGTGGAAAACGAAGGAGTGCTTCCACTGGGGACGCGCCTGCTTCTTCAGAACCGGGGACTTCAGCCTCAGCGTCTGCTTGTCCGGCAGCGTGAGGCAGCTGCAGAAGGGAAGCACCGGCCTGTGACGCCTGCCCTCCCACACGCCCTGCACGTGGGCGCCTGCTTATCCGTGAGGCTGTCCGTGCCCAGGAGAGAGCTAAATCCACCCCAAAGGACAAACTGCAACACGGCCCTGGCCCGTGTACCCAGTGGTTAGAGCGCCGGCCCCCGCACAGGAGGGTCTGGGGTTCAATTCCCAGTCCAGGGCACGTACCTGGGTTACAGGTTCCATCCCTGGCCCGGGTCAGGGCACATGTGGGAGGCAACCAATCGATGTGTCTCTCTTTCCCTCTCCTACCCCTGTCTCTAAATATCAACAGAAAAATATCCTTGGGTGAGGATTAAAATTAGTGGAAGAAGTATCCTCTGGTGAGGATTAACAAAAAAACAAAAACAAAAACCTCTAAACAACAAAAGAGAACGAACCACAGGATTGGCTAAGTGACCCCTCGGGGATGTTCGGCGTGTGGAGCTGAATTCTGCACCAGGTGCTGGGGGTGTCGGGGACTCCGAGGGTCCGGCGGTCCCTGTCTCGATCCCCCTCCTGGGTCTCCTGCCACCAGGGCCCGGGACCCTGCACACACGTGATCGCACTCTAACCCCGTCCTCAGGACATGAAGTTCAGAAGAGCCAAGTAAGCCGCCCAGGGCCGTCCAGGTGAACACCAGGTTCGGACAACCTCCTGACTGGGAAGCCGCCCTTTCCCTTGTTGGCACCGACTGGGGATTCAGCAACTCCACGTCCTAGGTGTCTGCTTTACTTTAAAAAATTTTTAAATTCTCACCCAAGGATTTTTTCCCACTGATTTTTTTTTTTTTTTTTTAGAGAGCGGAAGGAGGGAGGGAGAGGGAGAGAGAGAGAAACATGGATGTGAGAGAGACATCGATGGGTTGTCTCCAGAACATGTTCTGACTGGGGTGGGAATCGAACCTGCAACCCAGGTACATGCCCTTGACTGGGAATCGAACCCATGACCCTTCGGTCCGAGGGCCAATGCTCTCACCGCTGAGCCAAACCGGCCAGGGCTGTACTTTTGAAAACACACACCTGTGGTGAATAAAAACGAGGCCGAGGAAACGGCTTCTCCCAGGTTCCATCTGTCGGTAAGTGCTGACTCGCTGTTACAAGGACTGGTGAAACCGGGTTTCGGGTGAAAATGAGCTGTTCCAGATCTAGCCTCAGCACGAATTCTTGGACATCAGAGTCTTTAAGGCAACTTACGTTGGATTTTTGTAGGGAAGGTAAAATACACCTTTTGGTGTTTTCTACAATTCCTGGGACCACGCCGTATGTGTAACAGTTACCAGCAAATAACATTTGATTCACTCTAATACCTACCCCGTAACAAATGAGTTCAGGGTACCATCTGACCGCACAGGTAAATTCTTGGCTCCCAGCACCACCAAACAGAGTTGACCATCACGTGACGGCTGACTGCCTGTCCCTGGAAGAAAAGCCAGCATTCGCGTCGGATCCCCCGCAGGCAACGCCACCACCCCCAGACTGACAGCTCAGCAAGATGTGTGGCAGCCCTCAGACCCCGAGAGAGTGGCTGGACGAGGCGCACGGCCACCGTCCACGGCTCCGCTGGCCCTGCTCCCGCACCTGTCCCACCAAACGTCAGCGTGATGAAGGCTGGAGAGGTTGCTCCAGTCCCCAGGGCAGCAGCTGCAAGGAGTCGAGACTCACCCACCCTCTTCCACGTTGGCACTGACTGCGGATCTAGCAGTTGCAGTCAGGATGCTGACGTTTTAGTCGAGTGGGAGCCAGCGGTTTGGGGGAAGGTGGGCGCCCCGCGACCTCTGTTCTAGGGGCTTGGAGATGCCCATAGGGTGCTTGCCGCTGGTCCAACGAGCTCTTCCAGCCAAACAGGAAATCACTAAACACATCATGGACTTGCGCGTTCTCCCTGTCTTCACCCCCCACCCATCTTCCCACGAGCCCCGTGTTAAGTGAGTTACATCTGCATGTTCTTCAAGGACCAGCCACACACGTGACTGGGAGCCTGGGCCTGTTCATGCAGAGCCAGGCAGGCCTCAGTGTCTCCCAAAGAGTCCAACTCCCAGCCATAATGCAGGAGGTCACGCTTCAAGAGGGGCCACAGCCAGACTGTCTTTACCAGGGTGACCATCAGAGCCAGCCCCTTGGGAGGAAGCCTCGGGGCCGGTGTCCTAAGAGCCTTGTGAAGCAGGCATCACAGGCCTGGCCTGATTGGGGTCATTCGATTCCCTTCCAAGCCACGGGTTCCAGACAGCCCGCTGCTCAGGCTGGGCTCACAGCTCTGGGTGAGGGTTACGGGGGCACGTGGGGTCCGTGGGTGGCAGACAAGAGATGCTAGGAAACGTTGGCCCACCTCTCAGCCTGCCTGCAGCTCCAGGCTTTGGGGACAGTGACACAGTGACCAATGAACGTTTATGGGGCTGGGGCTGCCTACCTTCTTGAGCCTCCTGGAGCTTTCGGGGCCCAGCAGGGAGCACCAGTTTGGCCCGGACAGTAAGTTCTCCATGATTCGGAGGAACGTTGTCTTCGCACTTGTCTGCCTGCAGGCAAGAGGCAGAGCTCAGAGGCTGGAGTCCCCGAGCCCCATGACCTTCGGGGCTGCTCGGCTGCCTCAACTCTGCCCGTAAATGCCCCACCTTCACCCGCCTCCCCCGCAAAGCCTCACGGAGCCCTGGGTGGAGTGGACACGCCATGGCAGGACTCCTCCTCCGCATACGGTGACCTCACTCCCCCCTCGCCACCCTGTGTGGGAGAAACCGCCCCTCTGTCCAGCGGCCCAGCCGCCCACCCCCCCAGAGGCCGATGGCTTGGCAAGAGGGGCTCAGAGGCCCTGGCATGTTCCCAGAGGATGGTCCCAAGAAACCTGGACGCACCCTGAGTTTGAAATGTAACTAAAACCAGGACCCCATGGAGTCCAGGTCAGTAGAGATTTGAGCTACCCTGGATGCCGGGCACCACAGGCACTGGGGACCGACGGCAAGCCAGGCAAGGGGCCAGGGCACAGGGTGGCTCTCCAGTCTGGGTGCCATGGCCCCCTCCCTGTCCCCACTCCCCACAGAGGACACCTCCCTGCCTGCTCAGGCTGCTTGTCTGGTCACAAGTGATTCTGCCAGGAAGTGAGGGAAGGAAGGGCTCGGACAGCAGAGACTGCCGTCCACCGGCCCCTCGCCGTGGGTGCGGGAGGGGCGTTGGGAAGGGTCTCCTTCATCCAGACCCTCGGCACCTCCCCGCATGGGCTCAGCGAGGGCTGCTGGGGCGTGGAGGCCGGCCTGCCCCCGCGTGGCTCTCCTTGGCCTCCTGGCTGCCCCGGGTCCCAAGTGAGACAAGGCGGCCTTCACCCTCTGCTTCTAGAAACCCGGGCCAACCCGCAACCACAGGCCCCTCCTGTCAGGGCCCAGGGGCAGGGCTGGGGGCAGACACCCAGACCAGCGCCAGGGTCACTGTTAGCCGGCATCCCGGGCGACTCCCGGAGCTGGCACTTCCTGCTCCTAACCAGCTCCCGGCGGGCGACCCGCCCGGAGTGCGGGATCCGGGGAGGAGAAGGCGGCAGGGCACCCCTAGTACAGGGCCCCGTAGGGAGTCCTCTGGCAGGGACAATCAGGAAAGCCTTCAGGGAAGAGGTGGAACGTAAGCGGGGTCTTGGGCCGACGAAAGCCTTCCTCGTGGACATTCTGAGTGTGGCCCGGGCTCAGAGAAGAAACAGCAGCGGGCACCAGGGGCTGCGCAGACCACACGGAGCGCAGCGCCCAGGAGCGGGGGAGGGGCGGCACCCAGGCGGGGCACCCCCGGCTGCACCCTGCAGTGGCCACAAACCACAGCGTTTCTAAGCAGAGGCCTCGGACTGACCGCCTCTCTGGTCAGAGAGGAAAAGAGGAGAAACAGTGCCTGGTCCAGGCGTGGGAGACTTTCGCTGGCCAGGCTGGCCCTTCCCGGTGTCATTTCTCAGGAGACAGTGGCGCCCACGTCCCTCCCCTTCGCCCTCCCCTAGTACTCTCTCCCACTCGGATGCTGGCGCAGACATGTGCAATGCAGCTGGGCAAGAAAGGCTGCCCTCCCCGGCCCCCTTCCTCCCTGCCCAGCCACCTCCTCCTGTCCAGGGACAGAAGCCCCTGCTGGTCAGGCCAGCCTCTGCCACCTGCCAGCACTGGCTCGGCCATCTCACCTTTTGTCCCGGGGGTGCCTGGGGCGGGGAGCCCAGAAACAATACACTACAGGCGGGGCCAACGACAGGTGTGGTCCCAGCGGGGGGCAGGCCGGTGGCCACAGCTTGTAGACTTCGGCTGCAGAGCCACGAGAAGGCCAAGGCCACCCCAGCTGGCACAGAGTGACCCTGAATTTGGGGGAAGGGCACAGACCAGCAAGGCCACCACACGAGGGCTGGACACCAGGCCGGGGCTGGCTGAGGAAAGGCCATCTGGGTGCCTGCACAAACCCGAGCAGCGGAAAGTCCCTTAGCCGAAGCCCACCACGCGTCTGCCATGACTCTTTCTCCCTAGAAAGCTGCTAGTTCAAAGCCTGGCAAAGTGCGCACAGTTGTCCTGGGTCCAAGGTTTCCTAGACAGGTTTTCTACTCTCGGATCCCTTTGAGAAGTTCTCACGATGGGAGCGGGGTCGCCAGCCCCAAACCAGACGTCACCTTGGCCCACAGCGGGTGCCAGCGGAAGGACTGTGTCGTGCTGTCTTCGAAGTCCCACGTGGCCAGAGGGATGATCACTTCTCCAAGAAACACCCTCCAGGCAAGCGTGCCCAGGTGCCACACAGACACCTGCAGCTGCCGGGTCACCAGCTGGGCAGGCTCCACCTGGTACTGCAGAGGCAGAACAGAGACGTCAGCCGGGGCTCCCAGGGCCCGCTCCCAGGCGGAAGCCGGTCCCTACCCTGAGTCTGGCACCTTGCCCCACCTGTCCGGACTCCCAGTGTGCTAAACAAACGGTCATTCAAAACACCGATTTCTGCAACTCTCCATGATCCGTCGCTCAGCTTCCTGTCTTTCCTGTCGTAGACACATTTCTGTAAAGACTGTGTCTGGAAGTTCTAAATTTAGAACAGTTTAGGGACATTGATTCTTTTAAATGTCTCCGGGAAGTTTTCCAGGCTCGCCGAAATATTCACGATATACTGAATAAAACCAATGCATTAAAACGTTCGGTGATTTCATTGAGATTCTGCTTGCATTTTAAATAAGTCAAACTTCAAAACTTAAATTATATAATTAAATATTTATCTAAAATGCCGTCCACCCTCAATTTTATCTCATTTCATAAGCTGTAAAATACGCATCTACCTCTGTGTAGCACAAAATACCTTCATGACACGTATGAGCAATTGTAGATGTCGACTTAATACAGAGGATGGGGCAGAGCGTTTCAAAATCCTTTTCACAGGTCCGAGAGCAAAACCATCTGAAGACCAGTCTCCTTGGACTTGCTACTAGAGTGGCCCCAGACCAGCCGCATCTCAGGCCCCCTCACACATGCTGAATCACAACCTAATTTTTTTTCAATCCTTTGGGGCTTCCTATGCACATAAACTTAGAGAAGGTAGCTAGTCCACTGTGGGCTTGATAAACCTCAGTCTCCCCACTGGTAAGTGAGGATTCTAATCCCTAGCTCAGGGGGTATATAAAGCACTTGACCGCAGCAGGGGCACAGAAAGCAATAGCTGGCATTATTGAATAAACGGGACTCTGGGACCACTTGCCCAGACGGCCCCTCGCTGGGAGCTCATACATGCCCCTTCTCACCAAGGAAGCAAAAAAAGCCCCCTCCCTTCCAGTCTGGCCACATGGGGTCCCTGGGCTTCTCAGCGCTGACTGGATACAGCTCCGTGAGTCTGGCTGTGCCCCCAGTACGGGGCCTCCGCGCCACCCCACACGTCACCCTCCCTCCTCCACCCTGAACCTCAAATCACGTCTGTTAGCACCAAGGAACGTGAAAACCCAAACAATTCCCCTCGAATTTTTTTTGTAACGTGACTGTTTTTTTCTTAGAATAAGAAGAAACCTGGGTTTGCCAGCTATTCCAATCAAGGGGCACTTCTGCAAAGACGGTGACCCCCTCGTTTAATTCTCAGGGAACCCTGGCCAAGAACACCCAAGATCTATACAAATTCAACAGGACAAACTGATTCTCACAATTGAGAGGCGTCCAGGTGCTTTTCTTTTTCTTTACTATTTTCTTGGAAATCATTCATCACAAGCCCAGCAGACTCGGCACTTTCCCGTACACAGGCTGACCTGTCTACCCGCCTCGCCACTGCTCGCCAGCGCCCTGCAGAAATGTCTACGTGCTGCACACGCTCGACTGAGTCAAGAGCTTGGAGGAACCGTCCCCTGGACTCTGGCGCCATGTGCCAGCCCACGGCAGGAACTCAGCACGTGAGTATTTGAGCAAGTACCTTCAAGGTCTCCTGAAAGGTCGGGTCCACCGTGTTCTTCCGGACTCCAGTCTTGCGCTTGCCCTGCGAGGATCTGTCAGGCAGCAGGTAGGTCTTCACGTACCTGGTGGAGACAGGACGAGGTGCACACTCGGGCGGACGCGGTGGGAGGAGGAGAACTGCGCACCAGCGTCTTCTTTCCCTGCTCACTGCTGAATTGCACGTTGCTAGAAAGGGCTTGGTGGGCACCACTGATGATGAACAATGACATGCTGGGTACACAGCTTCTGTTTGCACAGTCTGTGGCCTTCATCATCTGGAATGTTCCTGGGTGGGTGAAGGTGCCCATGCCCCACCCCTGGAACCCACACTGCCCATCACTGGCCATTTTGTGACGCCCATGGAAACAGGGGCTCTCAGGGCTCCATGGTGGCCTATTCTTGGATCCACCTGGATACAGAGGCCATGTGCCCATCTGTCCTCCCTCCACCCCCCAAAAGAGTAGAAAATGGAAAGTGTGTGCCTGACACTTTGCTCTTCCCTGGTGGGGCCTCCCAGGCTGTCCTCCTGACTGCTGAGGACCGGCCCTCTCTGCAGACTGCAGGGGCTGCGTGACAGAGGCCATCTCTCCCCAGCACTCTGCCTGGCCCCTGAAATCCTGTTCTAGGGGTCCCCCCACTCAGGTCCCACGACTGCCCTGCCTGGCTCCACTGGCAGCTGTCAATGGCAGTGACCCTACTTGTCCAGGCATCCACCCCACAGGCTAGGAGCAGGCTCCGCGTTCCCAACGCAGGAAAGAACAGCCATCCTCCCTGGTCGGGCCGCTCCTGGCGCTGCAGGCTCAGCCTCTTCCTCCTTGTCAAGCAGAGTTCTGGGAGAGTACTCCAGGCTCCCTGGCACGGACTCCTCCCTGTCCGTTCGCTCTCGACGTGCTGATCATTATCAGATCCCACACAGGTAGAACAGGATGCATAAAATGTACCCATACAGTTTAAAGGATTAAAATAAAACGCACACCCATGTCTCTAATTGGTTTATTGTGTTAAGTCCTGTTCCCTCACTGGTCTTCTGGCAGGTTGTTCTGTTACTGAAGTGGAGCTGACATCTCCGAGGGTTATAATAGACCTGTGTCTCGCCCTTCAATTCTGTCCATTTTTTGCTTCCTATGTCTTGATGGGCTGTTATTCAGTGCATAGGCATTTATAATTTTCGTGTTCTTGCTGTATTAAACCTTGTATTAATATATATTGTCCTTTATCTGGTGTAACCTTGCTGATTTAATTTCGTCCGATTCTAGTAGAGTCACCCCTGCTCTCTTTTGGTTACTATCTGCACGGAATATGTTCTATTTATTTGTCTCTAGTTGTTGGATCTACATTGAGCCTCTTGTAGATGACATAGAGTTGGATCCTATGTTTTTATCCAATCTGCCAATTTCTGTCTTCTGATTGGAGAGCCTGATTTATTTACATGTAAAATAATTACTGATACAGAGGTAATACTTCTGTCATTTGTTATTCATTTCTGTATGCCTAGCATTCCTGTTCCTCGTTTTTAGCATTATTATATTCATTTGTGTTTGTTTGTTTTTTACGGTGAAATGTTTAAATTCCTTTCTTATTTCCTTTTATATGTGTTTTATATCCATTTTCTTTGTGGTTACCAAGGGGATTACATTTAATATGCTAAAGTTATAACACTCTCCTTTGAATTTATACCATTTTACCTTCAATAATATACACAAACTCTGCTTTTTTCCAGCTCCATCCCCACCTCTTTCCGTTGTTGATTTCCACGATTTCATTTGTATACCTTGCGTGCCCAGACACACAAACCAATTCTTCTAAATGCATTAGTCTCTTACATTATGTCAAAAACCAAATGTGAATTACCAAGCAAAGTTACCGTGATAAGAAACTAGTAATTTTTAATGTATTAGTCCCTTTCGTTATGTAGAAAGCACAAAGTGGAATTACATGCCATTGTTACAGTCATGCCAGTTTCCATACCCGCCTGTGTCTTCACCTTTGCTGGGGACTTATTTCTGTCCGGTGTGCTCCCGGCAGGACGGCCTTGAGATTTCTTGCAGGGCAGGCTAGTAGTCTCACACTCGGCTTTTGTTTATCCGAGAACGTCTAGACTTCTCCCCCACTTTTTTTTATTAATTTTTGTTAAAGAATAGGTTATGAATTTTTAGAGATTGAAGGAGAAGAGAGAAACACCAACTTGAGAGCACAACCTCGATCGGCCACCTCCTGCACACCCCCAGCGGGGATCAAGCCCACAACCCAGGCATGTGCCGTGACTGGGGATCAAACCAGCAACCTTTCAGTGCCCAGGACAATCCCCAACCACTGAGCCACATCGACCAGGGTTCTCCCTCACTTTTTTTATATATAATTTTTTAATCCTCACCCGAGGATATTTTTGCACTTATATTCAGATAGAGTGGGAGGGAGAGAGAGAGAGAGAAAGAAAGAGACACATCAGTTGGTTGCCACCCGCACAACCCCAACTGGGGCCAGGGACTAACCGCAACTGAGGTATGTGCTCTTAGCGGGAATCGAACCCAGGACTCTTTGGTCCACAGGCCAACGCTCTAACCCCTGAGCCAAACTGGCCAGGGCTCTCCCTCACTTTTGAAGAACAGTTTTGCTGGATATAGGATTCTTGGTTGACAGATTTTGTTTCTTTTAGCACTCTGACTATATTGGCCTTCTGGCCTGTAAAGTTTCTGCTGAGAAATCTGCAGATGATCTTCTTGAGGATTCTCTTCTCTGTTGCTGCTTTCAAGATTCTCTTTCAAAAGTGTGTTAGTAACATCTCTTAGTGAGTCTGAGTTCGTCTTACTTGGCATTTAGTGGGCGTCTTTGATGTTTATATTCATGTATTTCATCAAATTTGGGAAGTTGTCAGATATTTATTCAAATATTCTCTCTACCCTTGCTGTCTCTCTTCTCCTTCTGAGAGTCTCACATCCTATGTTGATCCACTTGATGGTGCCAATCAGGTTCCTTAGGTCCTATTTGTTTTTCTTTCATTCCTCAGATGCCATAATTTCTGCTGACCTCTCTTCAAAGGTACTGCTCCTTTCTTCCATCAGCTCATATCTACCTTCGAATCCCACCAGTGAATTTTTTATTTCAGTTATCGGAGTTTTCAGCTCCAGCATTTCTTTTCTGTTTCTTTTTCGGTTCCCTAACTCTTTATTGACACTTCCACTTTGTTCATACATCATTTTCTTGACGTTCTCCACAACTTCCTCTAGCTCTTTGAGCATCTTTAAGACAATGTTTTGAAGTCTTTGTCCAGTAAACCTCCCATCAGGTCTTTTTTAGGGACAGTTTCTTTTTTTTTCTTTTTCTTTTTTTTTTATCCTCACCCAAGGACATTTTCCCTTTTTTTTTTTTGTTCAGGTAGAGTGGGAGGGAGAGAGAGGAACATCAACGTGAAAGGAACACATCGAGTGGCTGCCACCCGCACAACCAACCAGGGCCGGGGACAAACTGCAACCGAGGTGCATGCCCTTAGCGGGAACCGAACCCGGGTCTCTCCGGACCACAGGTCGACGCTCTAACTGCTGAGCCAAACCGGCCAGGGCTAGGGACAGTTTCTGATGATTTATTATTTCCCTTTGAATGGGCCATACTTTCCTGTTTCTTTATATGTCTTGTTATTTTTGTTGAATGCTGGACATTTGTATCTAATACTGTATTAACTCTGGAAATCAGATCTCCTCCTTCTCCAACGTTTGCTGTTTTTTTAGGGTTTTGTTGTTTGTTTGTTTTTTATTATTATTTTGTTCACTGAGCCTGTGTCAAAGATCAGCCTGAGATGTAAACTTCGGTCTTCTCAGTTTTTTTCTGAGCCTTTGCCTTTCCCTGGGCATGTTTATGTTCTAATTGTCCTTGTTATGCAGTCACCTTTGAATGTGCTAGTCTATAGTATTTGGTTTCCAAGAGGGGAAAAGGAGAGAAATGAAAAAGGAAGACAAATAAGGGCACTGACCTTTAAGAACCCCTGAAATTACATCATCTAGAGGGGGAAGGGATTGCAACAGTGGGAGGCGATGAAGCAGCAATCGCCATGTACCTCTTTGTCTATACCTCTGTGATCAGAAGCAGCACTCAGCGATCAGAGGACAGAGCCCTGGTGTTTAGAAGACAGGATCCTTTTTGCATACCCTGGCTCCAGCAAGCTGCTCCAGGAACACTGCCCAGCTGCCTGCCAAGGGCGTGGAGGTGGAGCAGGAGGATGCGTAGCTGCTACTGTGCTAAGAGCTGAAATTGATCCATGTTTTCCAATTTACCTTGGAAACTTTCAAAAGACTCCAGAGTTCCAAAGTAGTTACACCTGACATAGTCTATCAGTGAAATTATTGTCTGTGTGGGGAGACAGACTCTTGATGCTTCCTCCTCTGCCATCTTTCAGATGACAGGACGTTTCCAGAAGGAAAACCCTAACAAAGAACTCATATGCATATATGCACAACCAATCAACATGGACACTAGGCTGGGGAAGGCAGGAGGGGGGTGGGAGCAGGAAGGAGGGGTCACTGGGAAAAAAGGGGGACATCAGTAATACTTTCAACAATAAATAATAATAAAATAAAATATGTAATATCTGACTATTTAGTCAGGGGCACTGGCCTCTTTTCCCATGATTGTCAAATAAAAAAATGACAGCAGCTAACACACATACACACACAAAAGTGGCTAATGGGTATATTCAAAGTTGTATATTTTTGTTAGTGGTCAAGGAAATGCATGTTAAAATAATGATGCAACACCATTTCATATCTATCAGTTAGAAAAATATTTAATCTCTTAATGAATTATGTGAGACAGGATTTTAGTATTTCCTATATGGAAAGTCAAATTTTCCAACACTAATTATTGAGGTTCATCTTTGCTGCACTGATTTCTAATGGTCCCTTGATTATGTAAGCTCCCATAGATGCTCAGGCTGTGTCTGGACTTTTGATTCTGCTCTACTAACCTGCTTGCCTAGACTGGCATCAACAACATATTGTTGGAATTACTACAGCTTTATAATAATTCTTGATATATGTCTTTTCATATTTTTGTTCTTTTTATTACAATTGTCTTGGTTATTCTTAGACTTTCCATATAAACTTTAGAATCAAGATAGCTATCATTTTAAGTCAAAATTTAGAAAAAGAAACTTACGGATTGCACTTTTTCTTCTTTTCCTCCCCATATGCAAGGTTCTTACAGGCCTTGATGCATATTTCTAGAGAACGGGTTTTGAAGCAATATCGAATGGCGAACTCTATTTCTCCAGTGACATTAGCGTTGTCAAAATTGCCAATCTCTGTGCAAGTGCTATTAATGCTGATTAAACTCCCCTGAAATAAAAATGACAGCTACAATAAATTACTTTGCAGTTCATCGATTCTTTTGCAGTTCTGATTTCAAGACAGCAGATAACATCAGAATTCGCACAGAGCATCCTGACTCACATTAAGTCAACAGCACACTGGCTCGTACTTTGCCAAAACAAGTTGCCACATATTCTGTTCTGCCGGGATGGGGAACCCTCAGAAGGTCCTGTCTTGCCCAGATACGGTCTTTGCCTAACAGTAAAGGTCACGCAATCTTATTCTTAAACACAAATCACGGGGCGCGAAGCGGACAATCTCCTGTGCAATTCTGCAAAGAGTACTCTCAGAGGGCAGATAACGTGTCCACGGCAGGAACAGCCAAGTGGAAAGAAGCACAGTGTGGGGGCTGGGTGCCCGTGGCTGGGCATCGGAGGGATCTGGCTGCACATGCTGGCTCTGCTACTCATTCGTTGTGTCGAAGTCCAAATGGAAAAATTAACACCAGTCTCTTGGGGCTACGGTGAGGAGTGAATGGAATAAAGTATGTCGAGTATGCAGTCAAAGACAACGATAAATTGTGTCTACATTCTTATGGGTGCCTGAAATGGAAACCAAAGCTCCCATGGTAAGCTAGGGCACTCGAGGCTTCAGATGATGCCGGAAAGTTGACGGAATGGGGTGCTCATGCCTAAAAGACAAAACGAGCTGCCTAATCCCGACTACATCTGCCTCAGTACTCGCCACGCTCTGCCTACAGCCGACCTCAGTGCTGACGCCGCAGAAACAGGGAACCCTGAGCGGTTTCCACCCTGATCCCCAGGCGGCTCCCCCACACGGTAACACACCCTGGGGAGCAGCGGAGAAGAAAGCCCGTGTCTCTCTCTTACTGGAGAGGGAGGAAAGCCAAACCGACAACTCACTGGAGGGACCGGAGCCTGCAGAAATGAGGGCCGAGAACACAACCAACTCCACCGTGCCCTGTCACCGGCTCTGAAGATGCAGCCTGCCAACACCCACACCACTCTTCAACGGAAAACAAGCTTTAACATTTCCAGACTCAAAGGCATGGAGGGGTGACGCAGGAACACTGAGGTACAGAGTGGGGCTAGACGCTGATGGCAGGGAAGTGCACAGGCTGCTTTGGACAAGGCCACGGCGGGTGGATGGAGGTGCTGGAAAAGTCTGGTGGTTAAACTGCACCCGTCACGCACCCCACGCGGGCTGTCGGAGCGGGCTGTGTGCACCGCTCTTCGGCCAAGAACAAATAGAACACTGGATTAAACAACAGACTGTCCCAAGGCGTTGTGGAGCCACCAAGACAGCCAGGGGGCCAGGGTCCGGGAGACTGTGGAGGCGTGGAGCAGGGTGAGGGAAGCCTGACACTGTGGTCCCCCTTCCCTCCGAGCATTTGTCCGGGACACAGCGCAGGGCTGGACGGAGCCAAGCCACACGCAACAGCCACGAGGTGCACAAGCCAAGGAGTCTCAGCCGCCGGACACTCGCTGGCGTCCAAGGCCAGGGAGGCAGGCTGAGCTTGGGGACCCCCGATCCCAGGAACAGGGCAGTGCCCCGGAGAGAGGCACACCGGAGTGGCTTTCCCTTCCAGGTGCTGGCTGGCTTAGAAGTGTCGCTGAGAAGCTTAAGAAGGCTTTCAGGAGTCCCCCCTTACTAGAGGGGAAAAGTTGGAGTTCCAGGCCAGCCCAGGAGAGGGGCTTGGTACCCCAGACTTGCACTTGGAACCCCTCGAGGCTTTCTTCCCAGCAGTGCGTCAGTTGGAAGGGGACCAGTTCTCGCAGACTGAATCCCAGCTCTGAGCCAGGTCTACACGCCAGATCAAGGCTTGGAGAGCATTATGCTCAGCGAAACAAGCCAAGTGGGGAAAGACAAGCATCACATGATGTCACTTATATGTGGACGCTAATGAACAAAATAAACTGACAAAAAAAAATAGATCCAGAGACATGGAAGCAGAAAACAGACTGTGGAACCTCAGAGGGAAGGGGGGTGGGAGGTGGGAAGAGATAAACCAACTTAAATGCATATGTGACAAGCAACAGAAATAGACAACAGTGTGGTGAAGGCAGGCACAGGGCGGCGGGGAGGAAGGGGTCAATGGGGGGGCAGAGGGGGGACTTGTATAATACTTTCAACAATAAAAATAAATTTGCCCTGGCCGGTTTGGCTCAGCAGTTAGAGCGTCTGCCTGCGGTCCGGAGACACCCGGGTTTGGTTCCCGCTAAGGGCACGTACCTCGGTTGCAGTTTGTCCCCGGCCCTGGTTGGTCGTGCGGGTGGCAGCCACTCGATGTGTCCCTTTCACATCGATGTTTCTCTCTCTCTCTCTCTCTCTTTCTCTTCCTCTCTCTCCCTCCCGCTCTGTCTGTACAAAAAATGGAAAAATGTCCTCGAATGAGGATAAAAAATAAATAAATACAAAATAATAATAATAAATAAATTTAAAAACAAAAAGATTTTGCCCTACACCAGCTGTGTGCTGGGAACAGGGGCGCTCCATCACCCACCTAAGGGCCTGTCTCAGGGGACAGCCTCCATAGCTAGTAAGGAAGTGACCAAAGAAAGCCCTGGGAAGGCCCTGCTTTTGCAGGTTCCCCCTGTAAACCCTGGGGCCTCGCTGCCTGGCGCCCGGAGGAGCCACGGGGTGAAGTGAGGACTCTGGTGGCGGTCCTAACTTTTATCACTTTCGTTCGGTCACTGAGCTGCAGATTCCAGAGGGAAATATTTAAAAATACTATGTGTAGGCACATTGTGATAAAATTGTTGAAAATCACAGGCAAAGAGAAAACCCTTGGAGGCAGAGGAAAGACACGTTCCCTTCCCCGGAGGAAACAACAGAGGGAGAGGATGGGTCCCCAGTGTCCCTGGGCCACTGGCCTCTTTATGGGGGGGGGGGGACAGCAGGCGGTGTGCAGGGGCAGGGACATTCATCTCGGTATCAGCAGGATCAGGGAATTCCAAGCTGATTCTACTTTTGGTAAAGCAGATTCATTTGTGGAAGAGGAGCAGGGAGGAAGGTATGAAAAGGTTTGAGAAGACCGGCCGTGCGGCTGTGGAGGGCAGGAAATCGAGGTGCCCAGAGAAACACCGCGAGATCAGGACTGCTGGCTCCGCGGGGGCACACTGGGGGTAACCGGCAGGCAGACCGAATCCCACACACTCAGGCTGGTGCCAGGGCTGCCCCACTGTGAGTGAGCTGTTCGGGTGCAGGCAGGGGAGGTATCAGCTGGCTCATCCAGCTTGGCTCCCACAATTAGAGAGCGTCCAAGAAGCACCGTAATTGCTCATCCTCCATTTATAAGTGGATAAGCAGAGGTCAAGGCAGAGTGGGACCCGCCCAGAAGCCGCCCAGCACACCGGACAAGGCTGCAAGTGGACCAGGGTTCAGAATTCACCGACGGCGGTGTCTGAGTAATTCAACTTCGGAGCCTGCTGCGCTGGGAAAAATACAGCCTCAGATAAGGGAAGGACAGCAGGGCACACCCTCTGGACAGCACATTCCTTCGGAGATAACCTCTGCCCCCTGCTCGGGAGGGTGTTCTGGTTCTGTTTTTTCTGCAGCCGGAACAGAATGTTGGAGTCGGTCGGAACTTTGAGCAGCGACTGCAGTCAACCAACAGGTCCTGGCCCACAGGAGCAACTAAGAATCCCTCTGGACTTTCATTAGTGCCATCTGGGTTTGAAAGAACAGTCCTTCTGAGCAAAAGCAAAGGAGAGGGACCTACAGCAGGCAGGGAGCATTTGGTGACTCTCTCTGAAGGTCGCCAGTTGCCTACCATGACTGAAGCCAGGCCCGATGCCCTTCGATTTGACAAAGGCAGAAGACGAGGAGTCAGCTGAAACCCCAGCTGTACTAAAACATCTCAGACCTGGTCACCAAGAGCAGGTGGGGCATAACCGCAGTGGCTCAGACAGCCTTTCAGCTCCAGGCCCAGCGCTCAGCAGCTGGGTGACCTTGAGCAATTCTCTCAAGCGCCGCAGCCTCAGTCTTCTCATCTGTAAAATGGGGATCTATTTCATAGGATTGGTATGAGGCTTGACCAGTTAGTGCATATAAAAAGACCAGACCCGCCCTGGCCAGTTTGGCTCAGTGGTTAGAGCGTCGGCCTGCGGTCTGGAGAGACCTGGGTTCGGGTCCCACTAAGGGCATGTACCTCAGTTGCAGTTTGTCTCCGGTCCTGGTTGGTCGTGTGGGTGGCAGCCACTCGATGTGTCCCTTTCACGTCGATGTTTCTCTCTCTCTCTCTCTGTTCCTCTCTCTCCCTCCCACTCTACCTGAACAAAAAATGGAAAAATGTCCTCGGGTGAGGATAAAAAATAAATAAAAATAAAAAGACCAGAGCCATACACAGATTAAACGTGTCAACCTTTTGAAAATGCCATACAATGTGGCTGCCCTTTGTAAGCTGAGCAAATCATTTCCTTTGTTTTTCTTTCTCTCTTTTCCTGTGAAATATATAATATATTTAAAAGCACATGTACTGGACAGGTATATTAAATAATTATAAAGTGAACATCCATGTACTCACCACTCACGTTAAGAAAAATGACAAAACCAGGGCTTTGGCAGTACCCTCCCTTCTCCAATCCCCTCCTGGTCCCGTCCCTGAGTAAATGCTGTTCCAGCATTTTCTGTAAATCATCCTGGCTTTTCTTTATGGGTTTTTTGTTTTGTTTTGTTTTGTTTATCCTCACTCGAGGACATTTTTCCATTTTTCTGTTCAGATAGAGTGGGAGGAGGAGAGAGGAACAGAGAGAGAGAGAGAAACATCGACGTGAGAGAGACACATCGAGTGGTTGCCACCCACACGATTCCAACCGGGGCTGAGGACAAACTGCAACCAGGGTACGTGCCCTTAGCGGGAACCGAACCTGGGTCTCTCTGGACCGCAGGCCGACGCTCTAACCACTGAGCCAAACCGGCTAGGACTCTTTATGGTTTTATTACATAGATATAAATCCCCTAAACATATGGGTTAGTTCTGCCCAATTTGGGGATTGATATTAGAA